CTAAATAGTATGCACCTTAGATGATGGGTACTTGAAAGTCTTAACGTTATGCAGATATCTTTTTGCCCTCGTATATTTATATATGTATACACAACAAAAAAGTAATTCTTGCTAGTTTCTTTTCATTTGCTCTGCTTTATGTTATTAAGTTTTCATTTACTTTTAAAAACAGCTCTTGAAAAAAGTTTTAAATCAATCAGTAAATTATGAGGAAAATGCAGAATTTTTATGAGGTGATTAGTCAATGTCACAATTTAGTTTATGGAATTTGTTCATATTAAGTAGATTTATCCCATTTCACACTAATACAAACCGAGTGTCTTGGTCAGCAGTTATTAACAACACCAGAAGCAACGATACTTATTCAGTCCTACTCATTTTGTTATTGGAAGATTAATTGACTAAAGTTATTGAGTTCTAGAAGTATACCTTATATAAGCACTTTAGAGTTTATCTAGCTTCAGTTGAGAAGTACGTCTTTTTCTTTCTCTCCCCCATACATATCCATTAACTTGACATACAATATTATGCATTATCACTAATGAAAGTTATTCCTATTAAACTATAGATGTTGTAACACCATGGCATTTAATTGTATGAAACAAAAAATCATAATCATGTGAGCCAATCATTAAAGAATAATCTCCAGTACTTATAACTCATGGATTCCACTTTGGACTATCTGATACCTGAATAGAAAAATCACCAAGATGTATGCTTCATTTTTTAAAAAATATTTATCTGAGCTAATAATTCATGGGCTCAAAGAATTTACAGCTGGTGCAGAAACCTTAATAGGTCATCTAATCCAGCCTTCTAGAACCAGCAAGTTTAAGTGAGTCACAAACTCACTATATCATAAGAATCACATATAGCAGAACCAGGACAAATGCCTAGATCTTCTAACTCCAAATACGTTTACTCAAGGAATCTGAAATTCTTTTTTTATGAGAAAATTTTCAATGAATGAAGGTGAGTTTTTGTGTTTATTTATTATCATTTCAAGAATTACTATTATTTTTTAATGAAAGTCACACAGAAACAGTAATTTGATTAATGATATCAGAAATATTTTGAAATTCTATTCTATTTCTTCAAATCTAATGTTATAAATAAATTCTTATTATAATTTTGAATTTTTGAATTACTGCACATGTCCCGATCACCTAGAATGGTGGAACCAGCTTCTGAAAGAATAGATTTTGCATTCCCCTGTGGGTAGGAGTAACTTCTTTCAATTGGCTGCGTAGCCAAAATATCTTTTCATACACACACACACACACACACACACATACACAGACACAGACACAGACACACACAGACACACAGACCCACACACACACACCCCTCCCAGAGGGGGGCATTTTCTTTTCTTTCCATGGTGTCTTGAGAGGGTGAAAGTCCAAGTCTACCCACAACATTGGTGCCAGGAATTGAGTTGGCGAGGGGAAATTTTAGGCCCTGTGGCATTGAAAAATGGGCTTGGCCTTTCTCTTCGGTCTGTTTCATTTGTCCTTTCTTTCAGTTCTGGCACAGGTGGTAGAATCTCCACTGGACCTGGAATCAAGCCATGTGACCTTGGAGCCAAGATTCAAGGTTGGTTTGCAGCCAGCTAGGCCTAGGAATGTCTGAGACTCAAGCCCAAGGTGGGAGTCTTTGGATCTGGAAGTTGCGAATGTGTTATGTAGGAAATGAGCTAAATTGTAAACTTATTCCCGTTTCCTAGAGACTGAGGTGGTGCATGGAGGGGATTATATACCCAGGTATTGGGGGGATGTTTGTAAATTTACTCTTGTTATTTATTCCATTGAAGTAAGCATTCCTTTGTAAAAACTAATTCAAGAAAATGATTAAATGCGTCAGGGGTACAAAGGATGCCTATGACAATTGTGGGACACCATCATTGTGGGCTAGAGCCAGAGAATGGTGGTAGAGAGGTGAAATGTAGAACACTCAGCTTCCAGGCAGTGGCTGCCAGGGTTATCACTGTGAAACATCCTATTGACTTCCTCAAACACTTAATGTCTCTACTACTTGTTTGGCACTTTGTTATCTTACTTTGTAGCCCTCAGGTTTTGGACTGTTTTGTTTTTGTTTTAATGTGTCTACTTTGTGTCAGACTCAATTAAAATCTCTGTTAGGTTAGTGACACAGGATACTATTTTTATATCTTTGTGTTCTCCACTGCCACCTTGTACAAGGAGTCAACTTCGTATGCAGGATTCAACTAGCAAATTATCAATGCTTTACTTGACTATAAGCAAACCTATAATAATCTTTCGTGGAAGATAGTACTTTCATTTTTCCTTTAAATAACTTTAAAACTTAATTTGCAGTGACTGAAATTTAATATTAGACAAAATGATCTTGACATTTGAGAATATGTATGGATAACATGGAAGCTTTTTGCATACCAGATTGATTTTCGGAAGCCTACTAGATCAGTTCTTAACTTTTCATCCTAATCTTCAAAACATCTCTCAAATAAAACCACTTTAATCACCTAAACTAATTCATTACTTCTCAGTTCTTTTAAAGATGAGCTCCTTAATAGGGTTGTTTTTTTTTAAGGTCACTTTTCTTACTAGTCTGTTTGTTTCCTTCCCCACCCCTTCACCCCTCACCTTGTAGTTTCACTCATGTTGTTCTTCCTGCCTAGAATTTGTGGGGATGGGACCAAGGGTTCTCCTTTCAGCCAATCCAAATTCTATATTGCTTTCATGCCCAGACACTGTGAAATCCTTTAAAAAGTCTAAGCATATACAGGTAAACTATATAACATATTGCTTGATAGTTTCTTATAAATCAGTGTCATAGTTCCAAAACATTAGAAATATTTTCTCATTTTTTCAGACATATACATATTATTTTCCCAACTAAATCTAGTGATTGTGCTTACTCCTTTCTTTGGATTTCTCACAGTGCCTAGAACAAAGCAAAGGAACTAGTAGATATTCTAAAAATACTCGTTGCATTGAATTAGCTAGAACTGGTTAGTTAGCTGAGAGTTAATTGGCTTAGGAGTCACTTTAGTTAGGCACTCTTGTTCCTTAACTCCAGATTCCAGAGAAAAATCAGGAGACTCTTGGGTTTGTAGGATGGGATTAACCTATGACCACTTTGATTCAGTAATGTTTTTGAGAGATCTAGCAAGCCCCTAGGCAAGCAATTCTGTATTTCTAAAAGAATAATGACTGACACTGAAGAAGTGCTGAAGGTAGGAATCCAATGTTATTTCTAGATTACATCAATACTTCAACTGGTGAGAGGAGGGTGGATGTCTAGATTGGATCAGAAATTTAGTTGGGAAGAGGGTGGATGTATTTATAATCTGCAAGTTTCCTGAATCCAAACCATTTGGGGGTAGTTCAGAGTCACTCCAAATTACCAGAGAAAGACTGTGGAAAAGTCTTGAAAAAAGGTAATGACATGATCCTAGCAGTTTCTCACTTCCATTAACCAGCACATATATGTAAGAAGACATTTTGATATGTTTGTGAAATGCAATATAAAAAATAGATGCTTTTCTACTGACCTTCCAAAGAAGGGATAAAATTTTAAAAGTAAAATTAAATTTACTTTTGTTATTTTAATAATGATAATATAAAGCTAAATATAGTCTTGATAATATCCAACATTCCATTAAATTCCTTGGAAATTATAAACTATAAGGATATGCATGTCAGTTCATAGTCACCAATTATTACTGAAAGTCAATTCTGGAAGTTAATAGGATATAGTGGGTTTTTTGTTTGTTTGTTTAAAAGAAGCAAGTACTAAAGGAAAATAAAGCTTTATTAATCAAGATCAAAAAGTGTAGTTTTTAAACATGACCCATAGTTGGCTATATTAGGGCAGAAAGTGACAGAAAATAATTATTAATTTATATAGAAACCTTAGATTATTAATAATTATAACTAGCATTTACACCGTCAAACTTGAAGATGAATAATTAGTATTTTATCATTTTCTTTTTATTATACAAAAAGATATTGAATTGTAAATTTCCAAAAATCAAATATATATGCTGTTTTTACTTGACAATGAAAAACATATAATTGATAGCACAATGCAGTTTAGCAAAAATACCATATATCACTTAGTAATAAATCAGAATTATTATTTTTTTTCCCTACTCTGTAGCACTCTGGGTTGTTTAGCTCTAGATACTAATATTAGTATATCCTAGGTTATAAGATCTCTCCATAGCAATATGCAGCATTAAATAATTTTTAAATGAACACAAACATTAAACATATAATCAAAATTTGATAAACATTAGAAAATATGTCATATTAACATGTGTTAAAGTACATTTTAGCTTAATAATTTTTCCCCTAACCCCACCACTGGCACACTTGAACCTGAGAAGTGAACCAAACAAATTTTTCAATGCATATCATGATATAAGACACTCATTTTTAATGTGTATCATGTGATCTGAATGTGTGCACATTTGTTAATATAAAGCAAATAAAGTTCTTCCCTTTAGCTACACAAATTTATTATGTTTAAATATAGGCCTACAACTTTGAAACGTACTATAAACAAAGTATATGTGTTCTTCCAGAAATAAAGAGTAGCTTATAAAAAAGTGAAAGCAATATGTTTTATAGCATTGCATTTTAATTTTACTCTCAAGAAATAGCCATATCTAACAAATAAATTATTAACAAGAATAAAAAGATCAACACTTTAAGTTAACTTAATGTCAAAATACACTTGAACATAATGCTACTGACCTCATAGCTAGATATCTAATTGCTTAATTGTGCCTGATGTATTGAATTCCTATTATGGCTCTCTTGTTACCACTGAGTGTGGTTGAATAATGGTAGACTTTGATACACACACTCACGTATAGAACTTTCTGTGTGTGTGTGTGTGTGTGTGTGTGTGTGTGTGTTTACCAACTGTATGAATTTAGGCACCTAACATGAAAATAAATAACAACCAAAAGAATCCTATTTGAAAGAGTCAACTTTAAAGTGAGTACATACCTGTGCTAGTGCGATAGGTGGCTGGCTGCAAAGGGTCCCCCTGACTCTGACTGAGACTCCGCATAGGGGGCTTCTGATACACTCTGTCTTCATATATGGGATCTATGTGGTGTTCTGGAGACTGTAGCGCCCTCAATTCAGAGCCAAGGTGGCTGTGTTGGCTGCTGTAAGATGCCCGAGACCCAGCTGCAAATGAACAAACAGAAAAATTAGAAAGGGAACACCACACAAACAAGACTGGTTTTTATCAAAGGCATATTTGAACATAATTTTGGGGTTTTATTTTTTTTTAAAGAAGAGAACTGTTGAAATGTGCAGAAAATAACATGAAATGACAGCAATGAGTCAAGCTAATCAGCTTATCGGCATCCCCCAGCTGCCTTACTCCTGATTTTCCCATAAGGAAGATAATATTCTAAGAGATAGATAGTTATTGTGCAAAACCAATAAAACCACTTTCTCACACTCTCACTAATGTAGCTGAAATCCTTACTAATGTAATTAATTAACAAAGGAGACAAAACAAAAGGGCAAAAACACATCCCTAATTGGGCTGGGTGTTTCCAACACAAAATTTACCACAAAAATCATTTGAGGTGCTATATAAATGTATTAATGACCAAAGCAAATCATCTCAATGCTTCTCTTGAAGACTGACGGAGCATTCTGCCTCATGACCATTTTCCCCTTGGACTGTGAATGAACCACAATACTAGGGCTTTCTATAGTCTAAATTCCTAGGGGATGAATACATTAAACAGATATTCAAGGAGAAAATGTTTTAAAGTAACAGAAAAGCTGAAAAATAAGAAAATTTTCTTTTGCTGCCACCTCAAAATCAAAGTACTAATTCTCAGTTTTCTGAAAAAAGAAAATGATGTATGATAACTTACTAATCCAATAATTATGAAGTAAAGTTTGCAAATCACTAGTCATTAAATGTTATTATTTTCATCACTTTCTTTCACAACACTGAAAAATGTACTCTGCCTTGTAATTATTCTGATATTATGACCTGGAAGTGTAAGACATGGATCATGCAAAGGCCTTGAAATTACAGACAGAGATTGATGGTACAATTAGGAAGCCTAATTCAAATTAAAAGTTAACAGGGTATGTGCTTTTAAGTGCTTGACTTAGTCATGAGAATTGAACAAATTCAACAAATTTACCATTCTTAAAAGTTGCTGAATGTTTGGGGAAAAGGAAAATAAATGACAGAGTAGGAAATTTATTTACCCGTTCTCTTTGTTAGTAATTCAATAAATTCCCATATAAATTATTCTCAGCTGAATTATATACCTAAAAATAATTGTTTTGCATAATTAGGTTCCTTGCACCTGGTTTATCAAGTGCCAAGATCAAGCTGAATATTAGTCTATTCACATGTTTGTTTGCTTGTTTTCATTTTTATGTTCTTGTCGGCACAGATGTGAATCCCCTGATTTGCCTTCAGTAAAGTCACTAATGCCAATTCATGTTAACTCTGAAGTTTATGACCAGGTTGTCAAGAATTGCAAAGATTGCTTCATTTGCAAGTATATGTGAAGGCAGCCATGATTATCCAGATGTTGAAAACAGCAATTTATTAAACATACCAAAAAGGTGTTCTCCAAGTCAAATTAAAGCATTATGTCATTATTGTCCATTTTGTTCAGAAATTAAAAAAAAAATACCGAGAAATGATGCAATAGCATTTGGATCTTTTAAAGCAGTATCTGTGTTAAAATCAACTTGTTTAATCATTTATCTGTCACATATACACACATTCATTTGGCTCCAGGAAGTAAGCCTTCAGAACCATTAGTTGACAATTGCAGAAAAGGAACATGAATTTAAGGTAATGGTGCCACAGACAACTTTTCAAAGTATTGTCATTTAAATATAATAGGATAAAACTATTGCATATTTGAATAATATTATGCTGATTTTTCCCCTTTCAGTGGTGCACTAATTTAAGGAAACACACACACACACACACATATATATATACACACATATACATGTATATATATAAATTGGCCACATATACACATACATATATGTGTAGTGCAAAGCATCTTGTAACATATAATAAAATAGCATTATTTTAATTTAGTTGTTTAGTTACTGCTGATGATTAAGTCTGAATTTTTGATATATATGTATGTCAATAAAGGAGGGAGAGAGGAAAAAAAGAGAGGCCAAGAGTTTCTTCATATGTATAGGACATATAGGACAAAACCAGTCTTTTTAAAATTTATCTATTCTATCCTCTCTAACTCTAGAATGAAAGTAATCCATTTCAAAAAGATGTCTTTAATCTTCAGTTAAAGATTTGCAAGAAAAATTCTTCCACAATTTCCCTTGGTAACGCAATAGAAAAGATCACTGTATGACCTAAGTGTTTGATGATTCATGGAAACTAGTTTTCTTGAAAAGGAGCTTTCTTTAACCAATGCATTCATTGATCCTTGTCCTTCATTTTTAATTAATAGTTATGTATCATATAATGTTTAATCCTTATTCAATGAAATTTATTAGGAACCATCATTAGAAAAAATACTGAAACCCCAAATTATTCTGTTAGAAATTTTGATTATTTGAAAATTGAGAGTTTTCATTATGGATCATACTATTGGTCACATAAATTAATGCATCATCAAGCTGAAACCTGACAGTATACCATAATAATAGAAACTTTTTATACATAATATGGTTAGGGGCTTCTGGCAAAAATGATTGCCTGAAAAGCGCTCTCATTTACTTACACCAATAAAATACTGTAGTTCCAAACAGATAAAATAATGATTGGGAAATCCAATAAGAAATTATAATGAGTAAATTCTCCTATAGCAGAACTGCACGAGAGATTATATACCAGGTCAGGGTAATTGAAAAAGGGGGTAAAAGCCAGCACCTACACAGGGAAATAAGATTCTAGCCTACCAGCAATGTAGTCAAAAGACTTGTGACACCTGCCTATGGTAACAAGAGCAGATGACTCACCTGAAAAAGCACCAGGGTGATCAGAAAGACACAGGTGGCTGAAGTGGTGGCTAAAGTAGTGATGAACTGCTCACAAAGAGAACCCAAGCCCAAGGTTTTGATGTCTTCAAATACTTTCTTCTAAGAAGAGACCAGGGCCCTGAACTTCAAAGTGTGTGTGTGTGTGTGTGTGTGTGTGTGTCTAAACTAACCCTGAGAGGTAAAAAACTAGTGCAGGAACCCAAGGGACCTGGAAAAGACCATAGCAGATCTTAAATTGTATTATAAATTAGCAATCATCAAAACTAATTGGTACTGACTAAGAAACAGAGTGGTGGATCAGTGGAATAGGTTAGGTACACAAGACACACTAGTCAATGATTACAATAATCTACTATTTGATAAATCCAAAGACTCCAGATTCTGGGATAACAACTCACTATTTGCCAAAAACTGTCAGGAAAACTGGAAAATAGTATGGCAGAAACTAGGCATAGACCAACATCTTACAACATATACCAAAATAAAGTCAAAATGGGTACACAATTTAGATATAAAGGCTGATACTATAACAAAACTAGGAGAGCAAGGAATAGTTTACCTGTCAGATTTATGAAGAATGGAAGAATTTATGGCCAAAAAAGAGAGAAAAATTTGAAATACAAAATGAATACTTTTGATTACATTTAATTGTACAGTTTTTGCACAAACAAAGCCAATGAACCCAAGATTAGGAGGGAAGCAGAAAACGGGGAAAGAATTGTTACAATCTGTGTCTCTGATAAGGACATCATTTCTAAAATATATAAAGAACTAAGTCATATTTATAAGAGTACAAGTCATTCCCCAATTGATAAATCGTCAAAGGCTATGAACAGGCAGTTTTCAGATGAAGAAATTAAAGCTATCTATAGTCATATTAAAAATGCTCTAAATCACTATTGATTAGAGAAATGCAAATCAAAACCACTCTGAGGTACCACATTATACCTATCAGACTGACTAACATGATAAAATAAGAAAATAATGAATGCTGGAGAAGATGTGGGATAATTGGAACACTAATGTATTGTTGGTAGAGTTGTGAACTGATCCAACCATTCTGGAGAGCAATTTGGAACTATGCCCAAAGGGCTATAAAACTGTGAATACTCTTTGACCCAGCAATACCACTTCTAAGTCTGTATCCCAAAGAGATCATAACAAATGGGAAAAGGACCCATGTGTACAAAAATATTTATAGCAGCTCTTTTTGTGGTGGCAAACAATTGGAAATTGAGGGGATGCCCATTAATTGTGAAATGGCTGGACAAGCTGTGGTATATGAATGTAATGGAATACTATTGTGCTATGAGAAATGATGATCAAGCAGACTTTAGAAAAACCTGGAGAGGCTTACATGAACCGATGCTGAGTGAAATGGCAGAACCAGAAGAACACTGTACACAGTAATGGCCATATTGTGTGATGACTAACTTTGACAGATTCATCTCCTCTCAGCAATGGAAGGATCTAAGTCAACTTCAAAAGAGTCATGATGGAAAATGTTGTCCACATCCAGAAAAAGAATGATAGAGTCTGAATGTAGATTGAAGCATATTATTTGCTCTCTCTTTCTTTTTTGTTTTGTTTGTTCTTTCTCATGGTTCCTCCCACTGGTTTTAATTCTTCTTTATAACATGACTAATGTGAAAATAGATTTAATATGAATGTATATGTTGAGCCTATATCAATTTACATGCCATCTTGGGGTGAGGGTAGGGGAGAGATGAGGAGAAAATTTGGAACTCAAAATTTTATGGAAGTGAATGGTGAAAATGAAAAATAAATATATAAATTTATTATTTTAAAAAAGAAAGGAAGCAAAATATTAAGAAAAAAATGAAATAAAAAGCTATGGAGGAAGAAATAGAAGGTAGATAAGTGTCCTAGAAGATAGTGTGATAGTTCTAGAAGATATTAATCAATAAATGAACTCCCTAAAAGTAGAATAGACTAAACAGAAATCACTGACTCTACAAGACAGCAAGAAATACTAGAGCAAAATCAAAAGACTGAATAAAGAAAACAAGGAAATGTAAAGACACCTGATATAAAAAAACAAGCAACCTGGAAAACAGGGCAATGAGAAATGATTTAAAAATCATTGGTCTTCCTGAAAAACATAATTAAAAAAAGACCAGACCCCATATTTTAAGAAATCATAATGGAAAAATATA